TAGGATGATAGAGTTGAAGGACACTAGGGACTTGTGCTGCTCAGGGTGCTGAAGGAGGGCAGAGTAGGAGCCGATAAGATGCCAAATACACAGCAACGGAAAATGCATGCCAGCTCTCACATGCAACAGGACAATTAACACTCGCCTTGCATTAAACTTTTTCCTTTTTTATGAGCACATATTTTAATACAGACTAATGCGTTTCATTTTATTTAGCAGCTTTGCACATTCACTTGATACACTTTAATCATTGTCCCCATCACCTCCACTTCTCATCTCTCCCCGTGGACTGAACACTTTTAAATGATCAACATGTTGATGTGCAGAGGTGGGTAGCATTTGATACAGGGGTTGAGACAGCTAAGGGGACAGAGGCAATGTGAACACAGAGATCCTGGGATCCCACTGCAGTCACCAATCAGACATCTGTGAGCTCAATGAAGGGAAAGCGTCTTCAGGAAGAGTGACCTTCAGGTCCCTGGGAAGTAACCTTGGCCACTATCATAACGCTGTACTGTACTGTGTGGCCTCCCAAATCAGTGATTTCTGAGTTCATGTAGAGTGGATGAGATTAGAGGGCTTCTTCAGTTTTTTTCCTGGTTATGATACCTCATTTCATGCAAGTTACTCTGCTTCTGTGCTTTTATGAGTCCCAAGACGGGTATTTTGAAGCATATGGTACTACAAAGGTTAATTACGATGTACTCAAGGTTCTTTAGTCTTTCCAACCTTCTTTCCAACACTGTCCCACCATGGTGGCCTCCAATACCCTCAACATTGAGTTTCTGTCCCTTTCCCCCAGTTCTCCATGCTCACATTGGAAGCAGAGGCCTTGAACAAGACAGAAAATGCAAAGAGGAAGGAACGGGCAGCTCCATCCGGAGGGCCGTGCTTGTCAGGGGGTCCACAGTGCAGGAGGGTAACAGGCATAGGGAAGTGGCTTGGATGTTAGGAGCCCAGTGGTGTCATTTACTTCTTTATACTTTGCTGTTTCCTTCTAAGGTTGAGGCACATCACATAATTTTGTTGTTGCTTCATTGACTGCTTCGTGGTTGGTTATTAAATGAGTTTTGAAATATTCAGACAAGATACCACTGTCTGAGTCAGCCCAGGCCTCCCCCTTCCATTAATCCGTACTCTGCTTCTTCACCCCACAACTAACCTGTAAATGCATTTGATCTTGTGATCCTGGATTTCCACTTCCCGTCCTTTGGTGAATTCAAGTGGTTGTCAGACACACAGAGAAAGCTGGATGTAAAGCACAAGGTCAGAATTTGTTGGAAGGATTGGAGAATACCAATTTCTAGATGCAACAGTGCCACCTAGAAATACGTTGTTTGTTTTTGTCCCACAGGAAAACGCGCATGCCTTGGAGAACAGCTGGCTAGGTCTGAGCTGTTTATTTTCTTCACTTCCCTTCTGCAAAAATTTACCTTCAATCCCCCCAAGAATGAAAAGCTGAGCCTGAAGGTTAGGATGAGCCTGACACATGCTCCAGAGAGCTACAACATCTGTGCTGTCCCCAGGGCATGATGGCTGAGAAGGAAGTGAAAGGCAAGAAAGAAGAAATGGCAGCTCTCTGAAGCCTCTGGTGCCCACACAGATGTGAGGGGACAGAATGGAGGTGGGGGAGGAAAGAAGCGAGGAATTGGGCTGAGAGGAAATTGGATCACCATCGGAGCTGTGCTATTTCCTTCAGAATCAATATAGGGCAATCATGTACGGATGATGTGATTTACTTTTTCATCCTGGAGATGGGAGGAATGGGGATTTTTCTCTCTCTAAATACAGTTCTGTGTAAGAATCAAAGGAAATAACAGAATAATGGACTTTAATTGATTTGTAAGCAATAAAGCACATGATAAAATTATAGTTGCACTGTTCCTTTTACTTGCCTTCTTTTGCAGCCAAGTATCTGCATGTGAGGAGTGGCAATTTCTCAGGTTCAAGTTTTATAAAACAGCCAACAAGAGTTAGAAGTGGGACCCGGGGTACAGACACAGAGCATGGCAAAATGCTCTCCCCTTTGGGAATGCTGCTCAGTGCTTGATCTTGTTTCTGCCTCAGAATGCACTTCTGGGAGGGCATCAGGGAAGGTTATGTTTCCCTTTATACAGGCAGTGAAAGCACCTGGTGTAAACACAGCTTTTTTTGTGGATATAAGGAAGCACTGCCTTGACCTGTGACCCTGTTCCACGTAGCACAGCTGACCAAGCCCGGGATCCAGGTTTACAGAACAAATGTGGAAACTTGTTTTGTTTTCAGAATGTATTCCTCAGTCTCAAAATGGCACAGCAATGAGTGCCGGCAACT